ACTTGAACTTATTTTCAAATTCTATATACAATAACTAATACTAATTGCAACATTTTTTTATTATTAAAATTTTAAATTTGAATTAAAATTTGCTTTTAATCGTGAGAATGATTTAAAACTATCACTGTTTAAAAATTTAATTAATTTTAATGCTGAAATAATGTTTAAAACTCATATATTAAAATTACTTAAGTTGAAAAATGACCACATCGAATGTGACCAGTGCCCATACAGAGCATAGAAAGTAATCAATTAAGTTCAAATTATGACTTTTTTCAAATAGAATTATGTTTTTAAGCAGTTTAAACACCTATTTAAATTGAAATTTGCTGATACCAGAAATTATTTTTTAGTTCGATATGCAAAAACTAATACAAATTGCGACATTTTCTTAATATTAAAATTTTAATATTGAATTAAAATTTATTTTTAATTGCGAGAATGATTTAAAACGATCACTGTTTAAAAATTTAATAAATTTTAATGCTGAAATAATGTTTAAAACTCAATTAGTAGAATTATTTAAGTTGAAAAATGACCACACCGAATGTGACCAGTGCCATACAGAGCACAGAAAATATTCAATTAAGTTCAAATTATGTCTTTTTTCAATTTAAATTATATTTTTTAGTTGTTTAGACACTTAATTAAATTGAAATTTGCTATTACTAGAACTTATTTTTTAGTTCAATATACGAAATCTATTTCAAATTGGAAATATTTTTAATATTAACGTTTTAAATTTGAATTAAAATTTATTTTTAAATGCGAGAATGATTTAAAAATATCACTGTTTAAAAATTTAATTAATTTTAATGCTGAATTAATGTTTAAAACTTATTTATTGAAATTATTTAAGTTGAAAAATGACCACACCGAATGTGACCAGTGCCCATACAGAGCATAGAAAGTAATCAATTAAGTTCAAATTATGACTTTTTTCAAATGAAATTATATTTTTTAGTCGTTTAGACACTTAATTAAATTGAAAATTGCTCATACAAGAACATAAAAAATTAATTTTGATGCTGAAATAATGTTTAAAACTAAATTATTAAAATTATTTAAGTTGAAAAATGACCACACCGAATGTGACCAGTGCCCATACAGAGCATAGAAAGTAATCAATTAAGTTCAAATTATGTCTTTTTTCAAATTAAGTTATATCATTTAGTTGTTTATACACTTAATTAAATTAAAATTTGCTATTACTAGAACTTATTTTTTAGTTCAATACACAAAATCTAATACAAATTGGAACATATTTTTAATATTAACGTTTTAAATTTGAATTAAAATTTATTTTTAATTGCGAGAATGATTTAAAACTATCACTGTTTAAAAATTTAATTAATTTTAGTGCTGAAATAATGTTTAAAACCTATTTATTGAAATTATTTAAGTTGAAAAATGACCACACCGAATGTGACCAGTGCCCATACAGAGCATAGAAAGTAATCAATTAAGTTCAAATTATGTCTTTTTTCAATTTAAATTATATTTTTTAGTTGTTTATACACTTAATTAAGTTGAAAAATGCTATTACTTGAACTTATTTTCAAATTCTATATACAATAACTAATACTAATTGCAACATTTTTTATTATTAAAATTTTAAATTTGAATTAAAATTTGCTTTTAATCGTGAGAATGATTTAAAACTATCACTGTTTAAAAATTTAATTAATTTTAATGCTGAAATAATGTTTAAAACTCAATTATTAAAATTATTTAAGTTGAAAAATGACCACACCGAATGTGACCAGTGCCCATACAGCATAGAAAATTTTCAATTAAGTTCAAATTATGTTTTTTTTCAAATTAAATTATATTTTTTAGTTGTTTATACACTTAATTAAACTGAAATTTGCTATTATTAGAACTTATTTTTTAGTTCAATATACGAAATCTATTACAAATTGGAAATATTTTTAATATTAACATTTTAAATTTGAATCAAAATTTAATTTTAATTGCGAAAATGATTTAAAACTATCACTGTTTAAAAATTTAATTAATTTTGATGCTGAAATAATGTTTAAAACTAAATTATTAAAATTATTTAAGTTGAAAAATGACCACACCGAATGTGACCAGTGCCCATACAGAGCATAGAAAGTAATCAATTAAGTTCAAATTATGTCTTTTTTCAAATTAAGTTATATCATTTAGTTGTTTATACACTTAATTAAATTGAAATTTGCTATTACTAGAACTTATTTTTTAGTTCAATATACAAAATCTAATACAAATTGGAACATATTTTTAATATTAACGTTTTAAATTTGAATTAAAATTTATTTTTAATTGCGAGAATGATTTAAAACTATCACTGTTTAAAAATTTAATTAATTTTAGTGCTGAAATAATGTTTAAAACCTATTTATTGAAATTATTTAAGTTGAAAAATGACCACACCGAATGTGACCAGTGCCCATACAGAGCATAGAAAGTAATCAATTAAGTTCAAATTATGTCTTTTTTCAATTTAAATTATATTTTTTAGTTGTTTATACACTTAATTAAGTTGAAAAATGCTATTACTTGAACTTATTTTCAAATTCTATATACAATAACTAATACTAATTGCAACATTTTTTTATTATTAAAATTTTAAATTTGAATTAAAATTTGCTTTTAATCGTGAGAATGATTTAAAACTATCACTGCTTAAAAATTTAATTAATTTTAATGCTGAAATAATGTTTAAAACTCATATATTAAAATTACTTAAGTTGAAAAATGACCACATCGAATGTGACCAGTGCCCATACAGAGCATAGAAAGTAATCAATTAAGTTCAAATTATGACTTTTTTCAAATTGAATTATGTTTTTAAGCAGTTTAAACACCTATTTAAATTGAAATTTGCTGATACCAGAAATTATTTTTTAGTTCGATATGCAAAAACTAATACAAATTGCAACATTTTCTTAATATTAAAATTTTAATATTGAATTAAAATTTATTTTTAATTGCGAGAATGATTTAAAACGATCACTGTTTAAAAATTTAATAAGTTTTAATGCTGAAATAATGTTTAAAACTCAATTATTAAAATTATTTAAGTTGAAAAATGACCACACCGAATGTGACCAGTGCCCATACAGAGCATAGAAAGTAATCAATTATGTTCAAATTATGACTTTTTTCAAATTAAGTTATATTATTTAGTTGTTTAGACACTTAATAAAATTGAAAATTGCTAATACAAGAACTTATTTTTTAGTTCAATATAGAAAATCTAATACAAATTGCTGCGTTTTCTTAATATTAAAATTTAATTTTAATTGGAGAATGATTTAAATCTATCACTGTTTAAAAATTTAAATAATTTTAATCCTGAAATAATGTTTAAAACTCAATTATTAAAATTATTTAAGTTGAAAAATGACCACACCGAATGTGACCAGTGCCCATACAGAGCACAGAAAATATTCATTTAAGTTCAAATTATGACTTTTTTCAAATTAAATTATATTTTTTAGTTGTTTAGACACTTAATTAAATTAAAATTTGCTTATACCAGAAATTATTTTTTAGTTCGATATACAAAATCTAATACAAATTGCAACACTTTTTAATATTAACATTTTAAATTTGAATTAAAATTTATTTTTAATTGCGAAAATGATTTAAAACTATCACTGTTTAAAAATTCAATTAATTTTAATGTTGAAATAATGTTTAAAACTTAATTATTAAAATTATTTAAGTTGACCGAATGTGACCAGTGCCCATACAGAGCATAGAAAATAATCAATTAAGTTCAAATTATGTCTTTTTTCAATTTAAATTATATTTTTTGCTGTTTAGACACTTAATTGAATTGAAAATTGTTAATACAAGAACTTAAAAAATTAATTTTAATGCTGAAATAATGTTTAAAACTCAATTATTAAAATTATTTAAGTTGAAAAATGACCACATCGAATGTGACCATTGCCCATACAGAGAATAGAAAATAATCAATTAAGTTCAAATTATGTCTTTTTTCAATTTAAATTATATTTTTTAGTTGTTTATACACTTAATTAAATTGAAAATTGCTATTACTTGAACTTATTTTCAAATTCTATATACAATAACTAATACTAATTGCAACATTTTTTTATTATTAAAATTTTAAATTTGAAATAAAATTTGCTTTTAATCGTGAGAATGATTTAAAACTATCACTGTTTAAAAATTTAATTAATTTTAATGCTGAAATAATGTTTAAAACTGAATTATTAAAATTATTTAAGTTGAAAAATGACCACATCGAATGTGACCAGTGCCCATACAGAGCATAGAAAAAAATCAATTAAGTTCAGATTATGTCTTTTTTCAAATTAAATTATATTTTTTAGTTGTTTAGACACTTAATTAAAATGTAATTTGCTATTACTAGAACTTATTTTTAAATTCTATATACAGTAACTAATACTGATTGCAATAATATTAAAATTTTAAATCTGAATTAAAATTTAATTTTAATTGGAGAATGATTTAAAACTATCACTGTTTAAAAATTTAAAAAATTTTAATGCTGAAATAATGTTTAAAACTCAATTATTAAAATTATTTAAATTGAAAAATGATCACACCGAATGTGACCAGTGCCCATACAGAGCATAGAAAATATTAAATTAAGTTCAAATTATGTCGTTTTTCAAATTAAATTATATTTTTTAGTTGTTTAAACTCCTAATCAAATAGAAATTTGCTAATATCAGAACTTAAAAAATTAATTTTAATGCTGAAATAATGTTTAAAACTGAATTATTAAAATTATTTAATTTGAAAAATGACCACACCGAATGTGACCAGTACCCATACAGAGCATAGAAAATATTAAATTAAGTTCAAATTATGTCTTTTTTCAAATTAAATTATATTTTTTAGTTGTTTAGACACTTAATTAAATTGAAAATTGCTTTTACAAGAACTTAATAAAATTAATTTTAATGCTGAAATAATGTTTAAAACTCAATTATTAAAATTATTTAAATTGAAAAATGACCACACCGAATGTGACCAGTGCCCATACAGAGCATAGAAAATATTAATTTAAGTTCAAATTATGTCTTTTTTCAAATTAAATTATATTTTTTTTTTGTTGTTTAGACACTTAATTAAATTGAAAATTGCTAATACAAGAACTTAATAAAATTAATTTTAGTGCTGAAATAATGTTTAAAACTGAATTATTAAAATTATTTAAATTGAAAAATGACCACATCGAATGTGGCCAGTGCCCATAGAGAGCACAGAAAATATTCAATTAAGTTCAAATTATGTCTTTTTTCAAATTAAATTATATTTTTTTTTTGTTGTTTAGACACTTAATTAAATTGAAAATTGCTAACACAAGAACTTAATAAAATTAATTTTAATGCTGAAATAATGTTTAAAACTCAATTATTAAAATTACTTAAATTTAAAAATGACCACACCGAATGTGACCAGTGCCCATAGAGAGCACAGAAAATAATCAATTAAGTTCAAATTATGACTTTTTTCAAATTGAATTATATTTTTAAGTAGTTTAAACACCTAATTAAATTGTAATTTGCTATTACTAGAACTTATTTTTTAGTTCAATATACAAAATCTAATACAAATTGCGGCATTTTCTTAATATAAAAATGTAATTTAAATTGGAGAATGATTTTAAACTGTCACTGTTTAAAAATATAATTAATTTTAATGCTGAAATAATGTTTAAAATTTAATTATTAAAATTATTTAAGTTCACCGAATGTGACCAGTGCCCATACAGAGTATAGAAAATATTCAATTAAGTTCAAATTATGTCTTTTTTCAAATTAAGTTATATTATTTAGTTGTTTAAACACTTTATTGGATTGAAATTTGCTAATATCAGAACTTGTTTTTAAGTTCTGTATACAAAAACTAAAACAAATTGCGGCATTTTCTTAATATTATAATTTAATTTTAATTGGAGAATGATTTAAAACTATCACTGTTTAAAAATATAGTTTGTAACTATAGTCGTTTGAAGTTTTTATTCTTTACATTTTTTTTTTTTTTTTTGTTTCAAACATTTTTTTTGAATTTTTCGACGCTTAAAGTTCTTATTTTTGAATAGTATTTCTGTTCATTTCAGGCCTTAGAATTCGATGTTGATGAAAATGTTTCGCTAAATCTGTCTTATGATCCGACATGGTTAGCAATTCTGAGAGCAACAGACCCTCTTACATCAGTAAACAAAAGCGTATGTGTATTTTTTCATAAATTGGAATATCTATTTTCCATGAAAGTGTTGCCTGTATTCCAGTTTTTCTTTTTTTGTTGATTTTTTATTCTAGTCTTGGAAAAAGGAAATTTACGTAGCAAATCTAAAAACAGAAGCAATTGTTGATAGGTGTGAGTTTCGTGTATAAGCCATCCGTGTAAAGTATTTATGCATGTTAACATGTTGCTTGTGTTTTATCCTTATTTTTGTGTTAAAATTTTTTTTTGTATGCGCACTGAATCCAAATTGATTGTTTTGGCACTTTTGCACTTCAAAAAAAAGTCTTGATTTAGATTTTTTTTTTTTTTTTCTAGAATATCTATATGCCGTCACAGCATACACGCAGTGAACGTTGGGACTTCAGACCGACTGAAGAGGAACTAACAAAAGTGGAAGAAATATATGATGGGGATTTTACTATTCCAAGGAATTTTAAGATGACAGCGTGGCCACATAGAGCAGATGGGATCGATGATAGTTCTCAAGAATTGTATTACAGGTGAGCTCAGCGAATTGTAAATTGGTTAACCAAATTTTTTAATATGAAGATGATAAAGTTTATGATCAGTTTTTTTACCGTGTTTTGAAAAAGAAGAATGCTAAAATAGTGAGATGTCATGGTAGCTGTCCAAATTTTTAATTGGAATTAAAATTAAGCTCCTGTTTTTTATAACAGAAACCAATTTTCTTTAACTTAATTTTCTCATTCTGTTAGAATTTGTTTATTTTAAAATATATCGCTTATGTTTCTTTTCAGATTTTTTCAGGGAAATTAAGAGAATAGTAAAAATTATCCAAAATTGAGGCATACTTCTAAATAAGTTTTTGTGGAAATTATGAAAGATCGATAAATCCTTCTCTGTTTTCTAGAAATCCTCAGTCAACAGAATTCTGTGCAAAACTTGGGATTAAAGACTTAAATGAAATGCTTTGTTCACTTTCGATGAATGGACTTGGTATCCCTTATTACATTAACAAGAATAGCGATTCTGAAAGTGTTCTGAAAAGCCGAACTTTTGAAAGAAAAGAGATGGTACCTTCAAATTTTACGATTATCCTGTCAATTTTATTTGCTATGTAAAATGCAGTTTAAATCTTAGTGATTTAGCAATTCTAAATAAAATTCCAGTGATCTCAGTTTTTTCTAAAATTAATCCCTTAGTTATTCTATTTCTTATAAGATATTTTTAGGTGAAAAAATATTTTAAGCTATAGTTCAGCTCCTGTTAGATTAGATAAGTAGATAGGTGAGGGAGAGAGAGAAAGTGAGAGTAAGAAAAAAACAAATTTGATTGATTAAGTAGGTTATCTGGAATTAATAGGATTACAATTACAAGGATTATTATTTAAAAAGGAAAAATTTTAGAAATTAATTTCTCTGACTAGAAAACATCACATTGCTAATATACACATTTTAATCTTTAGTCTATAATTTCCAGATATAAGCAAATCGTTGAACAATTTACGAATTTGCTAAAAGTTCAAGTTGGTGCTTTGTCGCGTTTTGTACACTGCCAAACAGGCAGCATTGAATACGCCGAACTACGACAATGCGTTGATCAACTAATTCGGAGAGTAGCTGGCTTAGATGAAGTCACTCAGATGGATAGTAAAATGAATCTCATTGAGGAAACGCTGAATAATGTCTCTGAAGCTTATGAAAAGGTTTAACAGTTTTAACTTTTATACTAATAAAGTAATGAAAGCTGGCATCCGACTGTAATAAGTATGGATTGTTTTAAAATATTTCACATTAATTACAAAATTTTGGAACACTGAAAAGAATAAGCCAAACTATGAAGTGGTATTGAAGAAACTTCGTATTATATTAGTATTATTTCGGGAATTAGTTTTTATTTCAAAATATTTCAGGAATGCACTAAATTATTTTATTTTAGCTGTTTCCTAAGTTTTTGCTTAACAAAATATCTTTCTATTCAATATCACTTAGCAGTGTTTAAAATTATTTGATATGAAGTTGACCAGATATATCTGTCATACTGGAAATTTTTTATCTTTAGGTAAGTAAAGTACTGATAAGGACACAACGCGAAGTACAAGAAAAGGAAGTACATATGGTAAAATTATTAATTTTTCTTTCAATTATTGTTCTTTAATTGAGGTTTGAATGCTTTGTAGACATTTTCTTTATTCTAAAGTATTGAAGTCTGTTTAATTTCCAGGAACATTCATCACCAGATGACATTGCCGATGAGGTGCAAGATTTGGAAAATGAATTAGAAGAGATTCAGGTATATAAATGCACCTTGAAATCTTAATTGGATTGATAGCTTTTTGCTTCATTAAAGAAGAAAAAAATCACAAATGAGATTATCATGCTTTGAATGCTTTATAATCTTTTGTCATTCACTTTTGAAGTTTAGGCTGCTCATGCTGAAGAAATGGAATCTATGCAATCCAAATATGAATATCAATTAAAATTACTTCGAGAACGCCTGGAGCATGAAGAGCATCGACGGAAAAAAGCGCAAGAAGAGTTACAAACACTAAATGTAATTCTCCTAGAATTTATCAGAAAACAATGAATTCAAAATTTTCTTTCAAAATGAAAAGAGAAAAAGCATTTTCAGTCCTTAAATGATCATTCATTATCCACAATGAAGAAAACTCATGAGGAAATGCTTAGCGGAACAAAGGCGACAATACGAGGAGGAAATTGCTGCGCTGCATAAAGAACATGCAGCGGAATTGCAGGAAGAAAAAAGCTACCAGGTTTCTTTTAATTACTTTCTTAAAAAGTTATTAAAATGATTGCTATAAAATACTAGTATTAATGCATTTGAACAAGGTTAATCTGACTTGTTAAATTTTAAGGTTTATTCTACAATTCTCTCTCTTTCGTCTTCTTGTTGATTTCTAATATGATTCTTGCTTCGTTGTTCTCATATTAAATTAATATTGAAATTATTCTTCTATTAAATTGCAGGATGGCTTTGGATTGCAGTACAGCGTGCGCATGATGCTGAATTAAAAATATTAATGAAAAAGTTCGTAGTATTAGTGGTAATAATATAAGCTCTTCTCAAACAAATATCTCTGCGAACCAAGAATCGATGTACAGTCTACAAGGCAGAGGTGAGAGTACTTTTCATTAAGATTATTTAAATATTTTATTCCAATATATCTGACTCTTTTTTTTTTTTTTGCCTATTTTCTTGTTACAGTAAAATGTTGGAGCAAATGAGTACAGAATTAGCTCAGTTGTCGCATATACTCGGCAAAATGTCTGGAGAATTCTCAGCTTGATGAGAAGATGTCTTTATTGCTGGCCGACAAAGAAAATCAGTCATCGTTGAAGTATTTTAATATTTTAAAGCTTTCTTTTGTTTTTTTTTTGTTTTTTTTTCCTCTTATTTGTTTTGTCTCATTTTTTCAGCAAAATTTTCTTATTATTTATGACAATTAAAACTAGATTTATCAATATTTTAGAGGATTTTTGTGTTTTTTGACGAAAAAAAAAATTTTCAAATTTGTAAATTTAATGTATTTTAATGTGAAATTTTATTTTTAGTGATGTAGAAAACCCAAAATAGACGCTTGCATCGTTGAATTACGGCAAAAAGACATAATAATTGAAGAGCTGAGGCAGACGGTGGCATTCTGGACGTCGAACTGCCTGATTTGACCGGTGAAGAACTTCTGTTAAATATGGTAGGTCATTTTTTCTAATGTTTTATGTGAATGTAACAGTGATTCAAATTAAGCTTAGGATACTTAGATATATTGACGAATGTAAGTTTATGATATGACCTTTATCGTAATCAGCTTGAACCATAGGGTCATCTTTTATCTGTTAATGAGATAGAAGTCCATCACTGGGTTGCTACAATTACTTATTTACTTACACACTTTTCAAGGCTTTTTTTGGCTGCAAGTGCAAGGGCCCTTTGGCATTATTATCATCCTTCGCTTCTTGGTAATTTTATACATGTCAATGCATCACTTCAAACTTATTCCTTTTTTTTTTTGTGTGTTTTTGAAAATTACTAAAATCTTCAAAAAATTCTATTTCAAAATTAAGTTGTTGCAGAACTGCCAAACGACAAAATCGGTAAGCTTTAGTATTGTGTAAAAATGTTTGAAATTGGCTTGGCATTTAGGCTCAATTTGATTTTTCTAGTACTAAGTTTAAGATCACCAATAAATTTATTGTAAATTTTTCAAAATATATCCATATTTCTAATAAAATTTCTATCATCTTCTTTTCGTTGAAGAAATTTTCAAATTACCTTCTTATGTGATCATAGACAGTAACATAATTATTCTTCTTCAATCTGTGATGCATGCTTGTTATTTCTAAATTCTATATTAGTTAAAGCATGTTGCTGAACTTTATTAGCTGTTGTCATTCCTTCTATCAGCCTTCTTTTCCTGCCTAATTGCTTCATGCCTTCATTTCAGCATTGATTTGTAAAATGACATTTTGTGTTTTTTTTTTTTTTGGTTAAAATTCAGTAGTTTCTTTCTTTTTTCATTATTTTGATGACAGAAAGGATAGCACTAGTAAAAATTTATAGCAAATGATTCATTCCTTTTAGCTTATCAACAATATGCTATAAAGTTACAACTAGTGCTATCATTTTTGTGTCAAAATGTTTGGAATACCTCTTTTGACAGTATCACTTTCATATTTTTTCGTTGCAGAGGAACGCGTAGACGACGTACCGTTATTACGAGAGGAATCGGTGACACACCGAACACGTCAAACTCACTTTCCAACTCTTCAGCAGCAGCAACAGCAACAACAACAACAGATAGCTCTCAGTTTTCCATCACTCAACAACAGCGACAGCATAGTAACACAACCAACAGCAGTCGTTTCATCGATTTGGCATCTTCCATCCGATCAAGGGGTCAAATTTCGAAGAAATCGTCAAGTGACATCAAAAATGACTTCAAGACGTAATGGTAAGTAACTAAATTAGTAGTATAAGATTCAAATGGAATATAGAATTCAGATGAGGAAAACTCATAAAAATTAATATATAACTTAAATTTTTAATGGAGAATTGCTATGTTTACTGTCCAACTTAACGGTTACGACTTTATATATTGTAACAGTTATTCTGTAATCACTTATTGTTAACAAATGAATTATGTAATCAAATTTAAGATGTTCGATTCCATAGCAATCCAGCGATACCAGTAAGTGAGATGACAACCAATTATTTAGCCAGTGAATTACGACGTTCAATGATTATTCCAGTGAGTGAACGTCGAAAGTTCTTTGAAACGATCGCTGAATACAGTCATCCTTTCTAATAAAAAAATGATATTTGATAACACTTTAAAAAAAAAAGCAAAAAATATTTCTTTCCTATAGGACAGAAAATTCAAATTGTCACTTATTGCAGTTCAGTTTTTTAAAAAAAAATGACAAAACTAACAAATTGAAGCGAATAAAATTACAAGGAAAATTTTTAATAAGAACATTGAATTAAAAATTTCCCACTTTTAAAGTTCTAGTCAATTTGTCAGAGAAATGAGATTTATAGCAGAGTAATAATGCATACTGGGATAAGAAGCTACAAAACTTTAATTTTATTCACATTCATTTAGGAAAATATTTCAGGAATTTATGAGGAAATTATTTCATCATTATCTTGCGATAAAGGCAAATCTTTCAGTCTGAGATCTTTTCTTTCAAATATTTTATCACTTTTCATCTTCTTCATTCATTTTAATCATCCCTTCCCATTCTCTTTTGATCTCGTATACTTTTCGCTAAGAAAAGCTGCAAAAATAAAGGCAAAATTAGTTCTTATAAAATTTCATATATATTAGTCATGCGCGTTTTTTTTTTTTTTTTTTTTTTTCCAACTGGTCATTTATGCCACTGGTGATTTTCTGATGTGAAATTTTGATTTTGTTCAGTTCAGGCCTGCTGTCTTGTTTTTGAACGTGTAATAGATTAATTATGTTTACATTTTCGTGCAATGAACTCAGAATCAAACTTTTCTCAGAAAATGGCTAGCATAAGGGTACATCAATAGAATTATGCTAAAGTTATGAATTACTTAGTTCCTAATTATACATTTTTTTTTTCCACTCGATTGAACTCGATGAAAAGTAAGGAAATACGAATTGGCAAATATTTCTTAATGTGATATTATTCCAAAACAACAAAATATCTTTCTTAATCTGAAGTAATTTAACACACTCTCTACTCTACTATTAATAAAAATTTTGAATCTCACATATAATTTTATTCATAATGCTGGAAAAATTTAGTAATTTTGAAGAGTTCTCCAGACTACAATAAGGAAATATTATTAGCTATACCCATGCTTCGATTGTTCTTAATCAAAATCCATAAATGAATTTAAAATTCCATCCTGAACATAGCTAGCT